TATAACAGGTAATATAACGTGTATGTTACATGTAACATCCATGTTAGTTGTAATTTCCCACTCATAGATGTAACATTTTAATATAACATATATTACATTGTAGTTATATTGTAATATATACCAAATAGCACATTGATGTATTGATAAGTCAGTGCTATCTTGGAATATAATGACAATATAACTACAATGTAATATATCTAATATTAAAAATGTTACATCTATGAGTGGGAAATTACAACTAACATATACGTTACATGTAACATGCTTGAGTATATAACATTTATATATTGTGTTTGCTGGGTTAATATAATAATAATAATTTAATAATTTATTACAAAGAGATTTCTTCCCCTGCCTCTTCTTCTCGGTCTCCAATGATAATTAACTGCAGATAATTTATATAAAAACAACATAAAATGATTCTCTTGTACCCGGATCTCTGCTCTTCTTCTTCTTGGTCTCTATTCTGAAAGTATCAAAGATTATATATTACAATTAATTAACTACATATAGTATAATAGTATTTTGTGATTTATTCTAATTTAATGTTTCGATTACAAATAAATGAAAGAAAGCAGCATATAAGAAAATTGCTTATATATAAAATATTTATGCATTCTTTTTGCTATATATTATAAATATTTTTTTACATACATTGCATTTGGATGTATTTGTAAAATGACGTATCTAAATATATTATGATGTAAGAAACTTATGTCGATTAGGCTCGACTTATTGAGCTCACTGAACTGGTCGATCAGGCTGCGCCTGGATAAGCTGTGCAGGTTCGTCAAGCCAGGCCTGGATAGTTTAAGCGGGCCGGTCAAATTGACTTGATACACGTAATGTGTTTGAGAGTTTGTAAGTGGTGAGACAGTTTCTTTGTTATGGTTTGTACTTGTACGTTTCTATTATACTGAAGTGATGGTCCAAAGAAAGAACTGAAACGTTTATACTGAATAAACTTGTGTATAGTATAAGTTATTGTGTTATTTTTGCGCTCCTACACCTTGCGCTTGGCTCTATAAGCCGTGTTTAGATTTGTTTTAGATTAAATAAGTTATGTGATTTTATTAATAATTTATCATTAGACACTGTTTGTTTATTACCTACTTGTAATATGTGTGATGTTCTTAATAATGCAATGTTAAGTCGTATTGTTTCCAAAAATATATTATTAATTGCTAAAGACACGATTAACTGTGTTTCATATTTAAAAAATAACGATGATGATAACTTAAAAACAGCTGGACTTTCGAAACAAATTAAAATTATACATAATTTCGATGCTAGTTTAGGTCATATGAAATTGAAAGAGTAAGTGTTAAATTTGAAGTGGTAGATAGAGTGTATGTTATTGGAAAACAATTTCCATTATCTCTGAGTTATGGTATCACTATTCATAAAAGCCAAGGATTGAGTTTGCGAAGTGCAATTATGGACATCGGTAACTCTGTATTTAGTTGTGGTCAAATTTATGTTGCATTATAGTAATGCGAGTAACATCTCTAGAAGAATTACATTTAATTAATTGTGGTCCTTTAGCAGTAATAACTAGCGAAAAAGCTATTATTGAATATAATCGTCTAAAACAGATACACAATCGAAATGTAGAAATGATTACTATGACAAAAGAACGCTATCGTAAAGTGAAAGATGAGCGTTGCTAAAAATAAATACTGTTCAAAAATCAAGTTCAGATAAAACAGTTCGACGAAGTACTGCTTGGATCATACGTGGTTGCCACAATACAGATAAAGTTTTATGCTATGCAAATGCAGTATTACAATGTTTATTACATTTAAATGTCATTAGGCAACAATTATTTAATTGTGATAAATCAGATCTTTTACGTATATTAATGCATCAATATGAATATGGATTATCTCATTTAAATACATATGCAATACGGCAATAGTTAGGAGAACATTTTTCGAACACCGTGAAACAAAATGTATCCCATTCTTTAACGACTCTTTGCGAAAAATTGATTTTGTTAGAAATTTGATAGAACATCAAGTTACTTCTACTAAACGATGCAAAATTTGTGGCAATACTAAAACTATTGTTGATAAAAATATTACTGTTTTAATTCCAATTAATAATTTGAAAAACAAAAGTTATAATCTTAATGATTTATTAAATAATAATACGAATACTAAGTCGGCTCTTTAATTTTTAAAAACACGAATTAATTTTCTCGCCTATTTCTTTACAGGGGAAATTAAGAGAGGAACAAGGGAAATTTCTGAGATCCCAACCATCCCATCAAACACAGTATGTAAATGTTATATACTTAAGCATGTTACATGTAACGTATATGTTAGTTGTAATTTCCTACTCATAGATGTAACATTTTTAATATTACATATATTACATATTGTAGTTATATTGTCATTATATCCCAAGATAGCACTGACTTATCAATACATCAATGTGCTATTTGGTATATAATTACAATATAACTACAATGTAATATATGTTATATTAAAATGTTACATCTATGAGTGGGAAATTACAACTAACATGAATGTTACATGTAACGTACACGTTATATTACCTGTTATATTCCGTTTTATTATAGCAATGTAACAATTATATATCGGTGTTTGCTGGGATAGGATACAAATTCCTTAGTTTCCAAATTTTCTTTCTAAATTATCGCAATAACATCGCGTGTGACTCTATGGCTGAGAGGAATGAAGTGTAAATCGTGATTTATTAAATGTTACGTTTTCACACTGGAATAAATCATACAATGAATCATTGTACTGGAAATGATATAATATTTAAAAATGAAATAACATTGGCAAAGAGGTAGTTGTAATTCATTTTAGAGTATTTTCATAAAATGATAAATTAATAAAAGCAACACAAAAATTAAATCTATGTGCTGGTCCAACAACTAAAGTATTAATAGCTGGGCAGTTATATAAGACGATGAATGCTATATTCCATCAAGGTTTGTCTATTGATAAAGGTCCTTATATAAGAATGTGTAGAGAAGGAGTATCTAACATTTGGATTGCAAAGTTGATGATGTGCTAGTTAAAAAAAACAGTGGTCTAGAGGTGCTAAAAATATTATGTAATACAAAAAATGGCTAATAAATAATATATATAACATATATAAAACTATAAAATTTGTAAAACAAATAAGCAATTTTATATTGAATCTTTTCATTAAAAATACATTATTGAAATTATAAACTTATAATAATAAAAACTTAATCGTTTAATTTTAAATGATAATAAATATATACTAGAAAAAATGATATCCATAAAAAAACTTATCTTTAAAAAAAAGGTAAAAAAAGGGCGCCATGTTTACGTGTCATGTGTAAAAGTATTATAAAAAAAAATGTAAAACTTATGTTGTAAAATTAATATATTCCTAAAAAAAAGCAGCGCCAAGTTTTTTAATTTTTTAAAAATTTTTTCTCTTTTTTTTATTTAGTATTAATTTTTGCATAAGTTTTTAATTTTCAATTTTTTTTACAAATTTTTATTAATTTGGCGCAACTTTTTTGATATCTTTTTTTTAGAAATATTATATTTTAATTTTACAACATAAGTTGTATATTTTTTTTATAACATTTTTACACATGACACGTAAGCTTGGTGCCCTTTTTTTTGAAAGACAAGTTTTTTTATGGATATTGATATATCAGAGTGAATAATTAATTGAAAATTTTAAATACTTTTATCTTTAATTTATAATTTATTTTATTTATTATTTATTGAAGATATAAAATTCACATACTTACATCATTTTTTATGTAGTTTCCATGGAGTGCAATTTAAGTATTCCAACGCTTCGGAAGTGCACGAATACCTCTAGAAAGGAAGTCTTTTATTTGATGCACCAGTTTCTCCTCTTCTTCGGACCTAAGACTTGCCTCCCATCGTTTGAATGTTTTCCATATTTGCCATATTCATCATATCTTGCCCTCAATTTTTATTTCTTTATTCTTCATTTATTTCTACTATCTTTATCAAAATACAGATTTTTTACCAATGATAAAGCGATAAAAGTGACTGAAAATATAATTTTTTTTATTCTCTATTCTTCTACTACTATTATTACTGAAATATTATTACTGAAATATTATTACTGAAATATTAGACACGTATAAAAGTATTGTACATATAATATTTATTGAAAGCTTATCATAACTCATTGAAAGTTTGTCATAAATCATTCAGAATAGAGATATGTATTATAATAATTTATTAGAGTCAATTTCAACTGAAAAATGTTTATTACTTTGACAGGATATCAATATTTATTAAGCACTCTTTTATTCGTCCTCGTGAAATATCTACTATAATAAAGTTAATATTAAAATAATTCTTTAATATTTCTTTAACACTTAGAACACCTACGTGACAGTAAAATTTATAAATTTTGTAATTTAGAATAAATAGAGTAGTTTATTGAAGCAACTGTTGTATGCGTAAGCAAAATGAAAATAAATAAATACAATAGTTATTACGTCTCATTCCAATCATAACGGCATATATATAAAAACTCATATATTATTTAAAACCTCAATCTACACTTCATTCCTCTCGACCAATAGAGCCAACGCGATGTTATTGCGACAATTAAGAAAGAAAGAAAATTTGGAAAGTAAGGAATTTGAATCCTATGGTTGGGATCTCAGAAATTCCCCTTGTTCCTTCTCTTAACATCCCCTGTAAAGAAATAGGCGAGAAAAATATTGGTCCGAAAGTCGGCTGAATCGGGAAATTAATTGTCGCAATAACATCACGTTTGGCTCTATTGGTCGAGAGGAATGAAGTGTAGATTGTGGTGTTAAAAATTAAGGAGCTGACTTAAAAATATTCTTATTATTGTTCCTATATTATTTATTAATTTATTTAATTACATTATTTAAATATATATAATATTATATTATATTATAAGTATATATATATATATATATATATATATATATATAAATATACTTATTAAATTATTATTTATATTTAGATTTTGCTTGGTTTGTAAATTCTAGTCTGACTTCCCTCGCTCTTGCTTTTTCAGTTGTTCTAGGGTAAATAAATTAATCAAAATAATAAATAAATCAAAAATAATCAAATTAATAAAAAAAATCAAATTAATCAAATTAATAAAAACAATTCGCATTGTAATACTAAAATAAATAGAATGTAGAAATGTTTAATTGACTTACAGTTTTGATTGCTGGTTTTGATTGGTCTTATTTTGAGTCCAACAGCTTTGCATCCCTCGCTGGCCTTCTGGATCCCGTTGTTGTGACATGGATCGATTTGCATTCAACAAATTATTATTGTGGTCCATTTTGAGAGGTTTTAATACTGTAAAACTGTAAACACATCTTGTATATTGCATACAATTTATATAAATTTTAGCAAATTTTTGTAAAATCGTCTTAGAATCGAGTCAGGAATACGATATTTTAAGAACATGTATTATTTCATACATAATAATTTTTACTTTTTTACCTGATTTTTAAGATGGAAACACTTATTAACTTTCTCACAGATCGCCAGGTACGGTCAGGCCGCACCACTCATTAATATCGCGACAACTAATTAGCGGACACGACGGCTCAGCCTCGGAAGCTCGGTATCAGGGGGTAGAGTGTCGTGGTTCTTTCTGTAAGGAGAGTCGGAATCGCAGTCTCGAAGAGAAAGAGGAAATATCGACATTAAATACAATCAGAGATAAGATAAAATAATAATGATATATTTTCAATAATGAGAATACTTATTAAGTCAGCTCTTTTAATTTTTAAAACCACAATCTCCACTTGATTCCTCTCGACCAATAGAGCCAAACGCGATGTTATTGCGACAATTATGAAAGAAAGAACATTTGGAAAAATAAGGAATTTGAATCCTATGGTTGGGATCTCAAAAATTCCCCTTGTTCCCTTTCTTAACATCCCCTGTAAAGAAATAGGCGAGAAAAATATTGGTCCGAAAGTCGGCTGAATCGGGAATCGAACCCGAGACCTTCCGCTTGCCGGGCGACTGCTCTTCCAACAGAAGAGTTGGAAGAGCAGTCGCCCGGCAAGCGGAAGGTCTCGGGTTCGATTCCCGATTCAGCCGACTTTCGGACCAATATTTTTCTCGCCTATTTCTTTACAAGGGATGTTAAGAAAGGGAACAAGGGGAATTTTTGAGATCCCAACCATAGGATTCAAATTCCTTATTTTTCCAAATATTCTTTCTTTCATAATTGTCGCAATAACATCGCGTTTGGCTCTATTGGTCGAGAGAAATCAAGTGGATATATTTTCAATTAATCGTAGTTAGAGACAAGGCGTTGGTATAATATAATCATCGAGCATGGAGGAGGTCGCTGGGTTTTTTCGAAATGTCTAATTATCACTACCCTCCTCCTTTCGTAGTCCGCTCGAGTATGCCATAAATCAGTGCTCGGAATTAGTTGCTCTTTTCGAGCCGATTTCGCGAGCGACGGGGTAGATCTCCCCACTACCGTCGAGGCTCGACGGCGGAGTCGTCGTTACTCCGGGCAACGCTATATCTCAGGAGCGTCGCTAAACATGTTAAGTTGTACCTTCCGCCAAATCGTCATTATTATTACATAATTTATATTTTTGTTAAATAATAACTGAATATTAACTTAATATTAACTTAATATTTAGTTATTATTTAACAAAAATATAAATTATGTAATAATAATGACGATTTGGCGGAAGGTACAACTTAACATGTTTAGCGACGCTCCTGAGATATAGCGTTGCCCGGAGTAACGACGACTCCGCCGTCGAGCCTCGACGGTAGTGGAGAGATCCACCCCGTCGCTCGCGAAATCGGCTCGAAAAGAGCAACTAATTCCGAGCACTGCCATAAATAATCCAGCGAAATCTATTCTTAAGGCTCGGTAATAAGTAACTCTATATAATGCTACAATTACAATACCATACAAAGTGACTGTCGACTCGTTTCCGTGCCCCTCGGAGAGGCGAAGAAGGCAAAGAGATGCGAAAAGACGTAATTACGGATATCGACGCGAGTCCCGTGAGTCTTTTACAAATTCTCGGTATTAAATTATTACTGGCATAATTGCTCGGTATCGCGATATTATTCTAGTATCCCACGAATCCGCGCTTACCGGAAGATCGAGGAGGTGGCCTTACAATACTGCGTCGCGGTCGGTGGTGGATGAGGATTGTGGTCCTCTCGTGTCTTCTCAGGTCATTGGCTCGCCGAAAAATGATTTCGCTTCGGGATGGCAGAACCTCGGGAGGTACGCTGGAGGGGAGGAGGAGACGCTGCGCGCCACCCCGGTCCGGTTTCCAGGTGTTGCGGCAACGTTGCGCCCCGCACCAGGCCCGGAATCGATCCTCATATCGATCTCCGTCTATCGCGGCTGGTCGCAGACTTCGTCTGGTCGCCAAATTCGAACGTCCGCTCTGGAGAGTGACGATGTTGCAGGTCCATTCTGGGCGGTCCCATCCACACCTCGTACGGCTGCATGAGGGTGTTCGTGACAGCCTTCCGCTGGGGTGACGATCTCCGCGTTTCCTTCAACGAGTGGTGACGGGCCTCTCAGGAGTGGTCATCCTTGTGGAGGAATGCAGGCGCCTTTCCTTCCCCGTTACGGACCGCTGCTGTTCGTTCACTCGAGGCTGTAACGAGTTCACTTGCAGTATCTTTCTCTTACGTACTCGGTACTGTGTACATTTTATTGCTCCTTACTACTCACCGGGCCGGCCGCTCAGTCTCCGTTCCTTCCTCTCCGAGGTCGTCCCTCTAGTCAGGCTCTCCTGGCCCACCACCTCGACCCTCGATACCGAGTAAAGGCGACCCAGCGAAAAGATCGCGGCTTACCTGTACGAAACACATAATTCAAAAGCGCTCTCAGACGCTTCCCGGCCGGGCGCATCCGCCTTTGTGACGGGCTCAAAAAGATCACGCCACAATATATATAAAATACTAATTTACTTCAGTTTTAGATGAAGTCAGCTGCAAAAGTAATGAACAAAATTATTCAATTTTTCGTAAAGGATAGTAAAAAATCGTATATAGGTTATTCCACACGAGTCGTGGGTGTTTTTAATTCAGTTAACTATTTTTTATCCATTTTTCAAGCAATACAACAACGTATTTTATATTTTTTTGAATCTTCCTTGAACTTTAAATCGTCGTTATTTTCGATTATATAGGAAAAAGATGTGTAGGAAATTCCATTCCAGTGCTCAATGATTAAGCGCAAATTTTAGATAATTTTTTGTTTGATTTAGAAAAACAATTCGAGGAAATTAATAATTAATGGTTAAGAAATTTTTAAAAAATCTAAAAAACTAAAAGTCGCAAAGTTTCAAGGAATATTATTGTACTGTATAATTGTATTTATTCAAAGTATAAAAAGAAAGAATCAATCATACAGAATTAAAATTGTTTCATAATCGTCTCTCTTTCTTATAAAATAATAATTAAAATAATAATTAAAATTGTGTCGTCTTTTAATGATTATCATCCGAGATTAAAATTTACGCATGAAATATTGAAAATGATAACGCGATTAATTTTTTGAACACTACTGTGATCAGATATAATGGTATATTGTTAACTGACTGGTTAATGAAACCCACTTGCTCGGGTAGATATATTAATTTTTATTCTAATCATCCTTTTAAATACAAAAAGAATACCATTTTTAATCTTAATTGTTGATCATGCAATTTTATTATCGGACGATCGGTTTCATCAAAAGAACATCTCTAAAGTAAAATCGATATTGACGAATAATTGTTTTTTGTCGAATATTATTAATAAGTTTGTGAATAACAGGTTAAAATTCCTTAAGACACGAAATAATGACGATCGTAATGTGGATAACGATAATTCAATTAGTGCAAAATTAAAAAATTGAATGACTTCATAAGGGTTCAAAAGGACAGAAATGATTGTCCCACGAACTCTAATGTTATTTATAGATTAAATTGCAATGATTGTGACGCCACATGTCGGACAGACAAAAAGACAGTTAGGAACGAGACTTAAAGAACATAAAAATAATATTAAATTAGACTCTGCTAAACATTCGGTTGTCACGGAACACATTTTAAATGAACAGCATACATTTGACTGGGATAACACTAAGATTATGGATTATGAAAAGAATTACCATAAAAGGCTAATATCTGAAATGATCTACATTAAAGAACAGAAAAATGGAATTAATTTAAACAGAGACACCGAATTGCTAGACAGTAGCTATTTTGACATACTTAAAAAATTAGCTGAATCATAGTTTAGAAAAAACATTGGTAATAAATAAATACATCACACTCTCTACCTCGACATTTGTTATTTAGACTTTGCAACACACACTTGAAATGTCGAGAAGAAGAACTTGTTAAAACGATAATGTAAGTTGAAAGATTTTTTAATTTTAATTTTATCTGCCATTAATTTAATTCGCGCAAAATATCCACAGCATGATTAAATGTCGCAAAACTTGAAATCTCAGACCAATCGGCTTACTCATCTATTGGTCATCAGCGAATAATCGTTTAACTTTGTAATTTAATGTTTAACCAACTTTGTATTTTAATATTTAACTTTGTATTTTAATATTTGATTTTTACGTATTGAAAAAGACTGTAGTGCAGTCGAAACGTTTACGCTGTATATTGTTTCTCTAACGGAATGAGAATTTAATTATTTAATTATTAATAAATCTTTAGATCTTATTTAATTCCTCGTTTAGTTGGCCTACAATATTTACCTTTTTTTAAATTATGTTTATAATATTAATTTGGCGAATTAAAATTATGTACATAATAATAATTCGACAAACTAAATTTATGTAATATATAATAGAAACTCGGAAATTAAAATTATGTCTTTTTTTAAAAATAGCATTCTCGCAAATATTGTTGCCGCTTTTCTGCGATGATAGAGGTTTGAAAGATAAACCGATATATTCGAGAATCAACTTAACATACCTGTTTTAAAGGAAGGATGTGTGCAAAAAACCACAAAACTGTTCAAAAAATTGCAAAAAACTGTTCTCTCAAGAATCGAACTGCTATATATATACCCCTTAGGCCAGAGCAACGACCCCCACTTGCCGTTCCGTATTCGATCAATCGAATTTCTTATGCATATGCTTATGCGCTTACGCAAAAGTGTATTCTCCCCGCTTTAAGCTCACATCCACTTTTTGTAAAATATAACAGTCAGGTTTCAACCAATCGCGTTCCGCAAAATATAACATTAGTAGAATTTCAACATGTTGAAATTTCCATGGTCAAAACCTTACTGTTACGTTTTACGGAAAGTGTGTGCGAATAGCTTTACACACACAGTCTTACATACACAGGTTTGGAAACTTGCATGGTGGGAGTAGTTCCAGCTATTATGACCGTTTTTAGTTTTATATTTTTTTTTGTTCTATCAGTCGATAGGGCTTATTGCAATCGGAAAGTGTATGAAAAAATGAAGACAAATAGCAATTTTTTATGTTTAAAAACACTATCTGTCAATCTAACTTTTCAAGTAGCCAGTCTTGTTTGATTTTTGAATTTAAATGTTGAGTTTCTCGATTAGATTATAATGCCGAATTCTTGCATTGTTCCACAGTGTAAAACAAATTACAAGAGTTGCAAAGTTAAATTATCAATATTTAAAGTGCCAAATGATGAGATAGTTCATAAAAAATCAAAAGATGCAATTCCTGGAATAAATAAATCAAATCCGCGTCATTATATTTATTGTACAAATATTGTTTATTTTGTTTAGCAAAGCAAATAAACTGGATATTATTACTCTTTTTTTAATTTTTCTTTTTAATTTTTATTCAGTAGAAATATATAAATTTGTCAAGATATCTGCAAGTATAGCTCTTACGGCACTACAATGCATGTGAAACTTGCAAAAATTTTTTCTCAAGTGTGAACGGTAATGCTGCATCCTCCTTGTCAGCTTTGATTAATCTTAAGTCTCGCGGAGAACTCATTTATTCGAATTTGCACATTTTTAACTTTGTTGCTATATCGAATCTTGTTTTTGGAAGCATGTCTTGACTGATGTATTTGACTTGACTATTGATAAAGTTATTAGCAATTATTCATTTTCATTTTCCTGTCAAGAGCATACGTCTGATTTGCTTTTTTATACTATTCATTATTATGTACGTCTCAGAATAAGACAATTTTTAATATAATTCCATGTATAGTTATCGAGATATTCGACCTATTAAGTTTAACTTAAAAGATACGATATATTATGTAACAATGTAACATTGCATTTGTAATATTTTATATAAAATTCACAGTTATATTACATTAATGGAATAGTTATATTACATATCTATTGCAACATAACATTACATGTTACATCCACGAGTGAGAAATAACAACTAACATAAACGTTACCTGTAACGTTTCGAAAACGTAATATTTACATAATAGTTACATATTGTGTTTACTGGATTACGTCTTACGTTTTTACAGAAATTCGTCTGCAAAGATCCTTAGCAACTCCTCTTCACTGATTTATTATATTAAAATTTTTAGCAAATTTTTCATGAGCTTTTTTAATCCGAGAAGCATTTTTCTTGACTTTAAAAATTAATACTATTGTTTTAAATTTTTCTCTAAACCTCTCTATTTCGACCAATATTGATTGATATGATTTGATGAATGACTTGTGACAATTGAGTGAGGTTTATTTTTATCTCATTCTTATTATTCTCTTTTCTCCCGAGATATGTAGATGAGAATAAGTCAAAAAGGTGTTCGGAATTAAGTTTCGTCAACCGCCCTTTTTTTCTTTGATTTCTTTAGTTTTTTTTTGTACAGAGTTTCATTGTGGAGAAAACAATGTCGTCTATAGTTTTAATTCTTAAACCCAATTTTTCTTAAAATTGATGAGTTCTATTCTTTCAAGTCATATTGAGCATATATTGTTTCTGGTCATTTTTGCCTCTCTCAAGTTACCTTTATGTAGTCTGTAGAATTTCAGTTTCTGCTTAAAAGAGTTTTAATTTTTGTTTTAGATTTCGCTTTAGGTTTCGGTTTTGTTCTACGAAAGAAAAAACTCCTGAAGTCTTTTTGTCTGACTCTTATTGTCAGTAGGACGTAACATAAATACATTTATAAGAAAAAGAGGGTTAAAGATAAATTGATGATGAATTTTTCTAAGACAGTAACGAAGAACAAGACGATTTCATTCATTTAAATAATAATAGATAATATCTTATAGTTTGAGAGAGAGAGAGAGAGAGAATAGAAAATAAATAGAAAATATGATTAAAAATGTTTAGATATACATATGTGCGTACGTAATTTTTTAAGACATAATTATAATAAACATTATAATAAACATTTTCTATAATATCTTCATCAAATTTCAGATTTTATATGAACGATAGAAATATAGATATATGCATATATATAATTTTTTATGATAAAAATGTAGATATATGCAATTTTTACGTTATCTTTTCATATAGAAAAACATAATTGTAGTAAATATTTCTATTATCTTCATCAAATTTCAGATTTGATATAAACAAATATTAATAAATGACTAATGTTATAATATTTAACATCAATCATTTCACTTCCGATTTAATATTCATTTAGAATGAAATGTCTCAATCTACTGTTATAGTATAAAACTAGCTTTGCAATAGCTAACACTTGTATTTCAGTATTATTGCGTTTTCAGTTTACAAATCTAATAATTGCCAAAAAGATTGTGTCGTTAAATTTTTTTAACACATCGAGAGATATTAATGTTTTTTCTTCTATATAATCCATTATCTTTTCTTATCTTAAAGCTACACAAATGTAAATTTTTGTCATTTTCAAAATTTTATTTTTCTATGTGATATAATAAAAGGCCAACTTAACGAGCTTATATGCTAATAATTGAAAAATTTTTATTTATTAATTTACGTCATATTATACAAAAGTTACGATAAACGTTTCGACTGTACGACAGTCTTTCTCAATATCCTAATAATATGTTAAAAAATTAATTTAGTCATTTTGACATCATAAATAAATACAACAATTATAACATGATATTGGCATATCATGCCAACAATCATGAATTTTGTACTGCGTTCGTCATATAATCTTATAATTGTTGTATTTATTTATGATGTCAAAATGACTAAATTAATTTTTTAACATATTATTAGGATATTGAGAAAGACTGTCGTACAGTCGAAACGTTTATCGTAACTTTTGTATAATATGACGTAAATTAATAAATAAAAATTTTTCAATTATTAGCATATAAGCTCGTTAAGTTGGCCTTTTATTATATCACATATTTTAATTGTATACGAGCCGAAGTTTAATTTATAAAATATATATATTTTATTTTTCTTTTGTGCTCATATAAAACATTCCAACGTTATAACCATTTACGGAAAAAACAGATCTTCACATTTTCAGGTAAAGATTTAGACAAAAGAAGAAAAGGCAAAAAGGAATAGACATAGGGTATAGAAAACGTTTCTAGTGTATATGAGACCCACACATATGACGAACATCATCACATGTGACACATAAAGACGACGAAAATCTAATTTTTCGCCGTCTTATACATGTATATGTGCACGAAGTACGAAATTTGCTTAATCGTTACTAAGACTTGTTGAGGAACAATCTCGAATTTGGGAACTGAAATCCTCGGTTTTCTTTACCTCCCTAGAGTGATGTAGACGGGAATACCGATTCAGCCGACTTTCGGACCAATATTTTTCTCGTCTATTTCTTTACAGGGGATGTTAGGAGAAGGAACAAGAGGAATTTCTGAGATCCCAACCATAGGATTCAAATTCCTTAGTTTCCAAATTTTCTTATCTTAATCTGTCGCAATAACATCGCGTTTGGCTCTTTAGTCGAGATAAATATGATGATTTAAAAATTGGAGAGCCGACTTAAAAATATTCTTAAAATTTTGTTTGTTTGAAGAGTGAAGTCTCTACTTTAAGAAACTTTCGTTCAATTTTAATTTCATTCTCTTCCCTTTTTTTTACCCTTTGAAAAGATAAGGTGTGTTTTTTTTCAAAAAATTGCAAAATTTGACGAACTCTACGGGGTGAAATAAATTTTTTTCGCAAATCTTATCCTTTCGGATAAATGGGCAAAAAACAGGTCTTTTTGCCATCACGCTTTTTCGAAATTACACGAACGATAAAATTATTTTGTTATATCAAAAGATATTTGCAGCTATATCTTTCATCCTCTATTATTATTACAGGTTTCTCGTCGAAATATTGGGTCGATTGAGGACGGACAAAATATTGATATTGCTGCCGTTTATCAAGAAAGATGAAAAATCGAATCCTGAATGATACAACAAATCAAGATAATTATGTGATAAAAATGTTCAACTTATTATTTTACTATTTCGCCAAATGTATCCGCAGAGCAAAACAAAAAAATTATCTGAACCGTTCAGTATTTTTTTTTACTTTTCTTATCATACGCAAATATATACAATAACTTTTCTATTGCTTTCAGTGTCATAAATAAAAATGTACGATATTTCATAATAATATATAGGAAATTCCCACATTGTCTTGTTAACGAACAGTTATTTTACGAGCCTTATTTACATTTATAAACTAAAATTATAAACTAAATTTAGCAAAATATATATAATTTATTTAGTTGGTATTGCCCGGGTAATGCAAATGTAACATCCATTTTTCTTATTTTCTGTTTCTCTATTTATTTATAATTTTGTGTTTACAGATTTTATTCGTGGACATTGATATTTTTTATATACTTTGTATTATGTTACTACGCTTTATATCATGCACGTTTTTATCCAAATTTTTAGTTGCTTTAAAACATAGCGTTGATGAGCCATCGTCTCTTGTTACTCTGTGATCAAAACACCTAAGAAGGATTCATCGTGTCTAGGAAAAGAAAATTGCAATTTTTCTACTTGTACCATACCGTAATTTGGCTATGTGTTCAGATGTTCATATATCGTAATACCGTTTCTATGTTATTTTATTTGCGCTAATACAGATTCAAAGATGAGTAATGTTTAAATTCATGCTTTAATTATTATAGTAAAACTATTTCTGGTATTTTATATGCTTTAATTATATTATTATGAAATTTTTTATAAATATTAAAATTTTATATATTTTTAATTTTTTATTTTTATCTACTGTTTTTTTATAATTTAATGTATTATGTAATTATTAAATTAAAAAAGAAGAAAGTGTATAATCCCGCACAGCACGTAATATTGTAGCAATATTGCAGTAATGTCGCAATATTGCAGCAATATTACCATGATAGTGTGATATTGCAACATTATTGCAGTAATATTACAAGGCGACATATTGCAGAGCAGTATTGAAGCAATATTGCATCAATATTACAATGTAATATATCATAATAAAATATTACTGCAATATTTCTACAGTATTACATGTTGATATATCGCAATGTAATATTACTGCGACATTTCAGAAATATTGTGACATGATATATCTCCATATAATATTACAACGATATTTTGGATATATTGCAAAAGACGATATATCTCACTAATATTACTGTGATATTTTGTAAATATTGCAGCATGATATTACTCAATGTAATTTTACTGCGATATTTCGGAAATATTGCAAAGTGATTTATCTCAATATAATATTACTGCGATATTTCGGAAATATTACAAGATGATTTTTCTCACTAAAATATTATGCTAATATTTTAAATCTATTGCAAGGTGATATATCTTATTGTAATATTATTGCGGTATTTCAGAAATATTGTGACATGATATATCTCATTAAAATATTATGGGAATATTTTGAATATATTGCAAGGCGATATATTTAATATTACTGTAATTTAATATTGTCGCAATATTTACAGTCAGTATTGTTATTTCACAGTTAGTTTTTTTCACGCATGCGCTGCACAGTAAACGAACTCAACGGATTTTATAGTTCATCGTGCTGCGGAGCGCATGCGCTAATATACCGCATCGTGTTGCTCTCACGTGTCTGGCCATTTTATTATACTGTGGTTTTGTGTGGTACTCTCGTTGTTGCTCGCTGCCGCATTGTGGAATTTATATTAGAAAGCAGCGTACCTTTTATTAACTGGTCTGGTGCATGGATACAAATTAAAACTAGAAGAGGTTATTATCTAATCTATAAGATACCCAGCAAACACAGATTATAATTATTATATAATCTACAAGTAACACGTAATATAACAGAAGTTTTAAATTATTAATGTTGATGTTACATAATTTTCTTTTGTAACAACAATTTAACTGTATTTTAAAACTGTTATATTTTTTGGTATTTTCTAGTTATAACAGTATAACAATAATAAAATAAAAATATAACATGTTATATAACAAGCGTTGCGTTAGCATTATTTAAATGTTATATAACATATTTTGTAATAAGCATCACTTTTAAATTTTGCCGCGCAACAAGTATTTCCGTGTCCTGTGTGTGTACGTATGTGTTGCTGAGAAGAAAGCTCTTTCCGGTTTGCTGTTCATCAACGGAATTTTGGCGGCTAATTTATATCAAAGGTAATCGTTTCTGTCTTTATAAATAATCATCTAATATATACTAAATATGGATTTTTTACACAATGAAAGTAAATTGATTTATAATATTCTTTTTTATTAATATTTGTACTAAATTTTACAAAACTGTTGTCCAAAAAATAGGTTATGCTCCACGTGCCAATATAAATTATTCATATATATCCTATTTTGTTACATTTTAAGGTGGATGAATTAGCTTTTTATTCATTTAAATTATAAACTATAATTATGTGCAAATTTCGATAATTTTTAATAAAGAAAATATGCAGTGAAACAGATTCATAAAAGCTAGTTATCGGTTCTTATAACTCTGTTTAATTGCATATTATTTAATTAGTGTAATGTTTATTGCTATTTATAATGAACATGATATTTAATGTATTGAAATGATATTATATGTGTCGATATTAATGTATTTTAAATATCTTGTTTTACAGCATACTCCAGGCTCTTTGCAGAACATTGATAGAAAGAAATCAACGCTTGCCTAAATTGGTTGGTTAGCGAGTTTGATTTAATTTGGCTTCGAAGCTGTTCCCTGTGTTACAATTCATTAAAAACTGCTGTTTCATCAAAAGTGGTAAGTATTAGCATTTTGCATTCATATTAGTTATTTTATTTGTGATAAAGTTACTAGGGCAAAGGTTTAGTGTCGACTCTAGTAATATTCTATATTTTCAGTCTTTTTTCAGTTCTATGTACTATATACTCTCTGCTCTTTATATCATCATCGCCACGTGTTACTTTCCTTTTATAAAGTTAGCGATCAGAGTTCCAAACAAATAAAGATTGTTTTTCACTAATAAGCTCATCAAGATATCTTTGATACACTACGTCAATCCCATAATTCCAATAGGTTATGGGCCCAGGCCCATCGACAATATTGTTTCGAAGACTAAAGGAGTTTAAGTGAGTAACGTAAACTAACCTCAAAAAAAAAAAAAAAAAATTTGCCCGCGATCGCATAAAGATAATGAGTTCGGAATCGAAGTATACCATAACGAAATTGAACAATGGAAATTATTTCAATTGGCGATATAAGATAAAAATGTTATTAATTGAGAAAGGCGTTTGGACAGCAATTACGACAGATCCGCCAAATCCGATTACAGACAGCTGGACACAAAAGGATGAAAAGGCACACACTGCAATTGCATTAAATATAGAGGACGACCAAATCCAACACATTAGGCATTGCGAAACAGCGAAAAGTGCATGGAATAATTTGAAAGATTTCCATGAAAAGGACACGCCAAACAACAAAGTAAGCATCTTGCGACAGCTTATGACAACACGATTAGAAGAACGCGGTAACGTCGAAGCACACGTAACCAAAATGACAGAATTATTTCAACGTTTTTTAGCCTATGGAGATGATTTAAAGCCGGAATTTATCTTATGTGTCACAATTCTCAGTTCATTACCGGAAAGCTATGACGTATTGGTTACAACGTTGGAAAATCGCAAAGATGAATTAACATCAAGTATTGTTTGCTCGGCTGTGATTGCGGAATATCGAAAACGTCTTGAACGAAATCGCGATAATACTGAAGCCGTATTAAGAGCTAGCTCGTCAGCCAAAAGCGGGTCATTAAATGCAAAAGAAGAAGCAATCAGCGTAGATAAATCGAAATGTCTTTTCTGTAAGCGTAAAGGGCATTGGAAAAAGGATTGCCGTAAGTTACTTGCGCATAAACAGAAAAAGAGTCAAGAGCAACAAGGTAAAACTCAGCAGCAGGTAAATTCGGCTGAAACCAGCGGTGCTGTTCAACACCTATTCGCAACAATGATACCACATAACGACGGTTGGTTAGTCGATAGTGGAGCAACTAATCACATGGTGAGTAAACGTGAGTTTTTCACCAACATGGAGAAACATGTTGAAAGTATCTACGTAGCAAACGGTCACAAAGTAACTGCAACAGGCAAAGGAACAGTCAATGCGAAATTCATAAATAAATTAGGTGATATAACAGCAGTTTCGATTGCAAATGTTCTGTACGTGCCACAAATACAAGGAAATTTTATTTCTGTACGACGTTTGACTAAAATGGGATATACTGTAACTTTCGACAATGAAGAATGCAATATCATTCGGGCACATGATGGAATGCAAATTGCATTGGGCGAACTCTATGGAAATCTGTACAAACTGAAGACACCAAATACGATATGTGCGATAAGAAATCAAGATCCGGAACCAATGAAGAATTGCATTCATAAATGGCATAGTATTCTCGGCCATAGAGACATCCAAGTAGTGAAGACGTTACCATCAAGCGATCTCGTCGATGGCGTTCATTTTGACGAATGCAGCAAGGATTGCAACAACATCTTAAACTGTGAAGTATGTCTTCAAGGTAAGATGAGCAGGATGAAGTTTCCGGATTCGAATAATAGAGCGAAAGAAAAACTGGACTTGATCCATTCGGATGTCTGCGGTCCGATGCAAACAGCGACACCATCTGGAAAAAGGTACGTTCTCACCTTTATAGATGACTATTCTAAGTTTACAGCCATCTACCTAATTAAAGAGAAATCGGAAGTTTTTGGTAAATTTAGAGAATTCGTGGAGATGTGCAAGACGATGTTCAATCGCAAACCAAAGATGATCCGCACAGATAGAGGAGGAGAATACACGAGTGTCGAATCCATCAAGTTCTTGGATCGAGAAGGCATTCGATATCAACGGACGGCGCCATATAGCCCACAACAAAATGGCGTTGCCGAGCGTAAAAATCGGACGCTCATTGAGATGGCAAGATGCATGATATTGGAAGCTAAGCTTGAGAACAAGTTTTGGGGCGAAGCGGTCGTAATGGCGAACTATATACAAAACCGTTTGCCAGCTAAAGATATTGTACGAACACCGTTTGAAAATTGGTATGGCACCAAACCTAACTTAGATTTTTTCAAACGATTTGGATCGAAGTGTTACGTACATATACCTGACGAGAAGCGGAAGAAACTTGATTCGAAAGCAACTGAGGCAACTTTTGTTGGCTACGATGCAGTCTCAAAAGCGTATAGGTGCTATGTTCCATCAAATGGAAAGGTAATCATAAGTCGAGATGTTAAATTTGTCTACAAGGACAGCAATTGGAAGATTCATCAAGAGGAAGTTAAGGAGGAGAACGAAGTCACAATTACGCATCCACCTGAAGATGAATTCTACAGTGCTGATGATGAAGAAAATTGGATAGAAGAAGAAGATCCTGCATTGGATGAAGCATTAAGGAATAATCAGCAATTACCAATAGCTCAACGTGAAATAAATGAAGATACCCCAGTTAACGATGCGAATAACATTCGTCGATCCACAAGATCGAATTTTGGTGTACCACCACTTCGTTACACTGAAAAAATCAACATCATTAAGGAAGAATTAATCGAGCCAAAGACATACAATCAAGCAATTCATTCCGAATACAAAAATGAATGGATTCAGGCAATGAAGAACGAAATTAAGTCACTTCAAGAAAACAAAACGTGGGAGCTCATGGAATTGCCCAAGGATCGACGTGCAATTGGTTGTAAGTGGGTATATAAAATAAAAACCCATGGAGAGAACAAAGTATTCAAGGCACGATTGGTCGCACAAGGCTTCTCCCAAAAATATGGAATTGAGTATGATGAAGTATTTGCTCCTGTAGTAAAACACGCAACATACAGGATCTTACTTACTATTGCGGCTAGAAAGCAAATGAGAGTTATTCATCTCGATGCGAAAACAGCGTTTCTAAATGGAAAATTGGACGAAACGATTTATATGAAACAACCTCCCGGCTTCACTGAAGAAGGAAATGCACATCAAGTTTGTCTCTTGAGGAGGAGTATATATGGCTTAAAGCAATCGGCCAGAGTGTGGAACAAGACAATTCATCAAGTTCTCACGGATGCAGGTTACGTTCAAAGCAAGAATGACCCATGCCTATACATATTGGAAAAGGATGGCAAACTATGTTACATATTAATCTATGTCGACGATGTAATAATGGCCAGCGAAGACGACAATATGTTGAAGGAATGCGAGCAAGTCTTGTGTGCAGAATTTAAAATCAAGAATCTTGGAGATATTCAAAACTACCTCGGTTTACAAATCAAACGCGATCTCAACGGAAATTTTGCACTTAACCAGAAACAGTACATCATGAAGATTATCAAGGATTTTGGTATGATGGAAGCAAAAACCTCGAATGTTCCAATCAATGTGTCATACGGCAAAGAAAATTCCGAGTTGTTAATGGATAATGAAAACTATCGTAAATTAGTTGGTTGTTTACTTTACATCGCTGTGAATACGAGACCAGACATCTCAGCAAGTGTAACAATCCTGGCACAGAAGGTAACAAAACCAACACAAGAAGACTGGAATGAACTAAAACGTGTCATTCGATATCTTAAGGGTACAGCAGACCTGTCACTAATACTAAGTGGCATCAACGGTAAAACTGATCTCATCGGTTACGCTGATGCAAATTGGGCAGAAGACGTCGCATTACATCAACGCAAGTCAACTACCGGCTACATTTTTAAGTATTTCGATAGTGTAATCAGCTGGTGTAGCAAGAGACAAACTTGTGTAGCTAAATCATCTATGGAAGCTGAGTACATAGCACTATCTGAAGCAAGCAGCGAAGCACTATGGATTCGTCGTCTACTAAGGGACTTCAAACAACCGGTAAAGGACCCAACTGTCATCTACGAGGACAACCGGAGCTGCTTGAAATTGATCAAAGAAGAGAAGTTGTCAAATCGTTCTAAACACATTGATGTGCATGCTTATTTCGTCAAGGACCACGTGGATAAGGGGACGGTTAAATGTATCTACTGTCCAACAGAAGATATGATTGCCGATTTATTAACAAAACCATTACCAGCTAGTCGAATCATAAAATTACGAAAGCATTGCGATTTAATGGAAATCTGAATGAGGAGGAGTATTAGCATTTTGCATTCATATTAGTTATTTTATTTGTGATAAAGTTACTAGGGCAAAGGTTTAGTGTCGACTCTAGTAATATTCTATATTTTCAGTCTTTTTTCAGTTCTATGTACTATATACTCTCTGCTCTTTATATCATCATCGCCACGTGTTACTTTCCTTTTATAAAGTTAGCGATCAGAGTTCCAAACAAATAAAGATTGTTTTTCACTAATAAGCTCATCAAGATATCTTTGATACACTACGTCAATCCCATAATTCCAATAGTAAGTAATTGATACAAATATCTGTAATAATTATACTTATGAAGTGGTTATGTCTAACGATGAACATTTGCATCTAGTAACGAAAATATGTAGTTAAATAAACCTAAAAAGTTATTAGTTTTTATTCAATTGCATCTTTTTTATTGATATAAATGTTTATCAATATTAATCAATATAAGTTATTTTATTATATATTATTTTATTTTAAATCGAGTTATTTAATTATATATTTCTTTCATTCAAATATTAATATTATATACATTAATTGCTATTTATTTACAATTACAATACTTTGCTATTTTACATTATTTTGAATGTTTACATTATATAATTTAATAGTATAATTTAATAATATATAATTTAATAGTATATATTATTTTTATCACCTATGCATTCTGCATGCTATGTACATATACTTATTGGATAGAACACATGATTTTTTATCAAACTTATTACTTTTTAATTTTAATAAATGTAAAGTACTTCTCGTACATAGTTTGGGTTTGCATCAATAGTTTTTGCAATGAAATAATATTTTTGAATACGATTGTTACTGTTTGTGAAAATACTCCTCCAGTATCAACAAAATATTTAAGAAGAAACTCATTTTCAAATATCTTAAAAATTATAAAATAATTGATTGTTTTTTTATTAAAAAACGTTTTATTTAACATTAATGTCATTAATATTTCTTTAACATTTATGAAGTATTTATTTTATTATTTTATTCAATTTTATATATATATATATTTTTATTTAATTAAAATATATTTTTATTTTAAGATTCTTTTCAGATTTAATATTGAGGTGTGTAACGCGCGTATATTTTAACAATATTTGTTGAGGTATAACTTTATTTATCATGCCTAAAGATATTAGATATTTATCACAAAGACGAAGGAATCAGATTATTAATCGAGATTTACGTAATGAAGATTCGATTTTATTACATAATCAAAATTCGACTTCATATTTAACTTTATCAAATTTAGAACCTAATGTAGTAGAAGAAGCGGTTAATATTAACACAAATTCAGAAAATTTTTGCACGAATAGTACATTATTCGACGAAACAAACCAATTTGATGAATTATCAATAGATTTTCAACTTGAGAACAATAATATATGTACTTTTGATGAGACAAATAATATACCCACATTGATAGATAATAATAAGTGCAACCATGAGCTAAGCTTACGAGAAGATTTACAGAAATTAATTATAGAACGTAACGTTCCTCACAATACTGCTAATGAATTATTGAGAATATTAAGAAAGCATGGCCATACTGAATTGCCTAGTGATGTTAGAGTTTTAGTTAATACACCACGTAACGCATCCGTAAACATAAAACATATGGGTAATGGTCGTTATGCACATTTTGGCCTTACTTCTGCTCTAGAACGATCTATAAAAAATTACTCCCAGTTTATTAACACAAATAAAATTAAAATAAATATAAATATAGACGGCTTACCTATTTCGAAAAGTTCTAATAGTCAATTCTGGCCTATCATGGCATCTATTGAAGATATCGGTATTCATACATTGCCATTCGTAATTGGTATATATCATGGTATGTGTAAACCGAGCGATGCGAATGATTTTCTTGGTAGTTTTGTTAATGAATTTTTGTTTCTTTTTGAAAATGGCATAATTGTTAATAACAAGAAATATAAAGTGAATATTAATGCAATACTTTGCGATGCTCCAGCCAAATCATTTATAACGTACACAAAAGGCCACACAGGATATTTTTCGTGTTCCAAATGTATGCAAGAAGGCGATTTCGTAAATAATAAAGTAATTTTTCCTGAAATTAATAACATTTTACGTACAGATGACTCGTTTAAGAATCGAATTCAAATAGAACATCACACAGGCGATTCTGTATTGGAAAAGCTTTCCATCGGAATGGTTTCGCAAATTCCGCTTGACTATATGCACCTTGTTTGCTTAGGTGTTATGAAACGGTTGTTGCAATTATGGATTAAAGGAAATAAAGAAAATAGATTAAATGCAGAAAGTATTGATTCAATTTCACAATATTTAATAAATTTTAAACAAAGCGTTCCATCTGAATTTGCTAGAAAGCCTAGAACTTTAGTTGATATTGATAAATGGAAAGCCACGGAATTGCGTCAATTTTTGTTGTATACTGGAATAGTAATTTTGCAGTCAACCATTCCTCCAATTTTGTATAATCACTTTCTTTCTCTTAGTGTTGCAATAAGAATAATGGCTAATCCACAAATACGTACAAATGAGACAGGTCTTGCTTATGCACATTCTTTACTATTACATTTTGTATCCAATTACAGTACTATTTATGGTAAACAATATCTATCACATAATGTTCATAACCTTCTACATATTGCTGATGATGTAAAAAACTTTGGTTGTCTTGATAATTTTAGTTGCTTTAAATACGAAAATAATATGCATAAAATTAAAAAGAAATTGCATCAATGTGGGAAACCCTTAGAAGAACTTTCAAATCGCATATTTGAAGAATTACAGCAACCAATTATACAATACCCTATCGTAAATTATCCGGTTGTTGTATATACAAATAAAGCAAAAATTTCTCATTTTCAATATAAAAACTTTAAGATTGCAATAACTGAGAATGATAAATGTGCTTTGCTTAATGATAATTCTGTAGTTTTTATTTTGGATATTATTGAAGAGGAAGATATATTATTTTTTCGCGCAAAACGTTTTCTAAATCCGAAATCTTTTTTTACTGTGCCATGTGCTTCTGAAAAACTTGGTATATTTCTAATATCAAGTGCAACTAATTCAGAAATTATAACGGTTCCACTCAATGCAATAAAACAAAAATGTTTAATATTAAAATATATGAATGAGACTGATTGTTATATAACAATACCGCTTTTACATACTAATAATTAGATGTTATTCATCGTTAATAATTTAATATTTTTATTTAATTTTCCGTACTTTTGTAAAGAATCAAAAATTTATTTTGAATAACGTAATATAAATGTCATTTTAATGTATTCCTTTGTCTTTGTGAAAATACTTTTAATTTGCATATTTGGAAAGGCGCAAATTGAATAAACATTTGTAAGATTGAGTATTTACAAATTGTATTAATATTTAAATTTTTAATTTTGCAATATTTTATGTACATAAATCTTATGCATAAAATTATAATTTTGATTGATTAAAACTATGAACTATTAAAAATATAATTTATATCATATATATATAATTGCAAGAGACGATGTGAATTAAAATTAATTTGATTTTAATTTTTACTAGGCTAGTAATAATTTTTATATCTTTAATTTTATCTTAAATATATGTAGATGTAACAAGTATTCTTTATGTATTATTAATTATTTATTATTAACAAAATTAATATAAATGCATTTGAGGATTGTATTTCAATAATATAATTATATCAGTAATATGGCATAAAAACGTATACATAAGCAATATAATTTTATTAAAATTAAATATAAACGTATATTTTTCTTACAAAATATTTATATTATTGCATAGTTTGAGTAAAAATATTCTTGTAAAATCTATTTATTACATTGATGAAATAATATATGTATACATATATTAATATTGTATAAAATTTTAACTTATAAAAGAATTATTTTATAACAAAAATTTGTCTTATTTTTGTATTTATTAATGCAAAAAAACTTTTGCATTAAAGCAAAAAACTTTTATATTACATATGATATCAAATGTGATTTTTAAAATTTTGCATTAAAGCAATCAATTATTTTGATCAATAATTTTGTCAATAAGATATTACTAATGTGATTGGATGTATATACATATTTTTATTTGTGAAGAAATTAATTTATATACTGTTTTTTTGTTTAGAGAAAAATGGATTCTGGTGGTACTATAGGAAAAAGATATTCCGTTGTCAAGTTTGTTATAGATAATTCATACTCAGAAATACCAACAGCGTGGCTTATACTAGATGACAATCAACAACAGAAGTGCTGGTGGCCACGGACAGCAAATGCTGCACCTCTAATCGCAAACTATGCAAGTCCGAATTTTGAAACTTGGGATCAATATAATATTGAACTCATAAAACATTGTAGTAAGTACTTATGCATTTTTATCTTTTGTGTGTTATGATTATATTATATTACACTATTAAGAGTCATTTAAGTTTGCGCAGAACATATTTATTGTAATGTTTTTATTGTGATTATTATTAGTATTATATTATTATTATTATCATTAATGCGCAATTTAATATATCTATTTTTTTATTATAGGATCTTTGGAATCTGCAAGAAAAAGTGCAGCTGACTCCAACTACCAAACAACCGACGAAGACAAATTGGGACGTGGCAAAAGACAGCATACTTTGTACAATCGATATAGCAGTGAAGAAGAAGAAAACGACGATTATGTACATCGACCAATTGCTAAAATTAAGAGTACGTATTAAAACAGCATGTTTTATTATATTTGATAATCTTCATTTTTAAAGGGCTATATAAGAAAATTTTTTTTTAAATATTTACAGAGAAAGAAAAAGCAAGCAGTATGAATAAAATTACATCTGCTTTCCCACTGTGTCCGGACAATTTAACCTTGAATAATTTCACCAACAATGAAATTGAAAGCATCAAAACTGTGATTGATTCAGTAAAAAAGATTCCATTATCACAACCTTGTGGTACGTATAGTATGTGATATTATAATCTTTGATATTTTGATTTTTATTACATATTGTATACATTTCCAGAGAAAAAGAAAACTTCTTGTACACAAGAAGTGGATATACGTCAGATTTGTGATATTCCCATAATATTTCAAAGTATGTATATTGTCATGAGCATCGATATACAGAATGGACTGAGCATCGAATAAGAAGTAACAAACTGACGTCATTAAACGTCAAAATAACGTCACACGACGTCAAAATAACGTATTTTGACGTTTAATCACGTCAGTCTGTTACCTGGGTTATTTATTGATGTTCAGTTCATTTTATATTCGATGATCATAAGTATATAAAGTCAACAAAAATTATATTCATGTATATATATATATATATCTAATATTTCTTTTTTGTAGATTGTGATCCATTATCTGAAGAACATGAAAACCATGAAGAATTGCAAGAAATAGTTAATGAAGTATCAGACCCTAATATAAAAAGTATGTATTAATATATATGCATATAATGGCTTTTAGTTAAATAGTAATATAAAATTATGTATAATAAGAAATACATTGTACACATTGCAGAGTACTTTAATCAAGTGATACGTACACAGCAAGATATAATACGTAATCAAGGACAAATAACACGTACCCAAACTACGTCCAATTTAATCTTAAGAGACATCAAACAATTGGTAAACCGATTGGAAGATGTTATGAAGAGCCGCGCTCTTCTTCCAACAAAGGGTAAGACAGCTTGATTGCTGAAATTTTACCGTTACGCTCGGCAACTATAAAGATTTTGAGACTTATTGCGTGACACGGAGGAAGCAGTTACGCAATTTGTAAGTTTTACATTAATTTATTTAATTAATTGTATAATTTAATTAATGTGTATAAAATTTTTAATTTATTTTTTACAGAAAGAATTTATCTTAAAAGTTGGGGAAATAATCCCAGAGACAACATTCATCGCGCCCTTTGCAAAATATTTACGAACCAATGTGCGATGGATTGCTCAGGAAGGGTGTTCGTAATAATTTTAAAATATGCGATTTATATTTTATCAAAATTATGAGAAGTGTGTTTTCTATATTATTAAAAATGTATCTATTATCCTAAATTTCTTGTTTAACTATATATTATTCTTTTAGGAGACATTACTCTACAGTATTCTCTTTAACAGAAGCTGAATTTGATAATATTGTGGCGGAATGGCTACGTTTCGCTAAGCAGAGGAAGCAGAGGGAAGAAAAAGGAGGAGCACAGGAACAAGATAAGGAAAATAATTAGATTTTCAGTTCTTTAATTAAAGGAAATTTTTTTTTTTAAGTATTATCTTTTGCTTTAAGTTTTTAAAAATATATATGTGATAGATAATGAATACCAAAAATGTTAATATATTTATATATGTTGCTATATTTCATAAGCTTACACATGTGTACCTGTACGTACCTGAGCAACAACACGTATATATAACTTGTTTAATGTATATATGTATAACATATAAAAAGTGCTAAGTTTTTAATTTTTTTTATTCTCTGGAAGAGTTTATGTTTAATTATAATTTATACATCCTTGTATAAAATATATGTATAAATATATATACGTCTTATGTAATGAAAAATAGGGCTTCCGGTTACGGTGAGAGTGTGAGTGACAGGTGTGTGAAAGCGTGGCAGGTATTTGTGAGGAAAGAGTGAGAAAAGG